TTCGGTCAAAGAAAATTTATTTTTACTCTCTGGATCAGAAGTCACCTAAAATTAAAAATTTACATTATCCCTTTTTAGGCATCTTGTGGGCATTATTCTTATGAAGTGTACCACCAAATAAATAAACTCAGGCACAGGAATGATCAAAAAATGTGAAGAAAACAAAAAAAAATCTCCAGCGCAGCCCTGTTTCATTTTATCTGCACTGCATGCACTGCAATACTCCATCTGTTCTACTGTATCTGCACTATTATTCTATCTGATCTACTCTTTCTGCACCACTTTATCTGATCGGAATAGTGGAATAGTTCTGTTCAGAATAGCTCCAGTTCCTTAGCAGTATTTTGTTTTACTGTATCTGCAATGAAATTACCGCGCAACGGCGAGCTACGTTCTAGGTACCTATCATATATGGCGCCGTATACAAAATGGTTGTGACGGACTCATAACCTGGCTCTCTGCCACTCGACACCAGCCGGACGGAGCACTCCGAACAGTCGGCACGGAACACGGCTGTCAAGGGATGCCTAAGAGGAGAAACGGAACTTAGCCACAGAACGTCAATGGTCAAGCGTCAAGAAATGACAGGTACACCAGTTCGCGCTTTTTAGAAGATTTCATTATGAATGACTTTGGCAGAAAGTCGACAAACAAAGTCACATAACCTATAAATAGCATTGTCAATGTTATTAATTTTTTTTCAATTTTGGACTTAAAGGATAACGCACACCTAACGTGGGATTTCTGGGCTCTATGGATTTTGCCCATTTTTTGATATGTTGTAGAGGATTCAATTCTTAACAACCTTTAAATGGGACGAAATCTTGTAGGTATTACGGTCTTTGAGATATGAGCGTTGAAAGATGAACTTTTTTGCGACTTTTTGTGTGGAGAGTATACGAAAAACTGGTGTTCATTAGTCAAAATTTCGACACGTCGACATATTTCACGTCACTTACAAATGTCAACATAGGCTAAGGTCGGGACCGCACTGGTGCCAACATTGACTCCAGTGCGGTCCCGGCCTTAGCCTATGTTGACAATTAATTTTTAAGTGACGTAAAATATGTGAACCTGTCAATGTTTTGACTGATAAACACCTAAACACCAGTAGCACCAGTATCTCGTATACTCTCCACACAAAAAGTCGCAAAAAACTTAATCTTTCAGCGCTCATATCTCAAAGGCCGTAATACCTACAAGATTTCATCCCATTTAAAGAATGTTCAGAATTAAATCCTCTACAACATATCAAAAAATGGGAAAAATCCATAGAGCCCAAAAATCCCATGTTGGGTGTGCGTTATCCTTTAATAATTATGGCAGTTTTGGGAGAACGTGATATGTTTTAGCGAGAGGCGATGAAGCGATGTGTGTTTGTTGATTGTAAAAGTGATAGTCGAACGAGTTCCAATAGATTAACGACCCCATTTGCCTCCACTGGAGTTTAAGGTGACACAGCATCTTGTCAAATCTACGCTTTCGTGAGTATTCGGTGCATTCGTGAACTCGTTCGACTATCACTTTTACAATCACCAAACACACATCGCCTCTCGATAAAACATATCACGTTCTCCCAAAACTGCCATAATTATTAAATTTAAGCCCAAAATTGAAACAAAGTTAAGGCCGTTTTACAGCTTGCAATTCTATCTGCAATATGCAAGAAACTTGAACGAGGGCATACGCAGAAGTGAGTCAGCTGATTAGTTTCTGCAAGATTCTTGAAACTTGAATGGCATTGCATGCAATCGGTTTGGTGCCATTTTTCTTGAAGGTTTTCGTGCAAGCTGGGGAATTTTTAGCAATTATGATGCTTGAAGTTGCTGCTATTGCTTTCTTCTTTTTTTATATCGACTTATATAATCACTTTTTATTTTTGGAAAATGCAAACATCAACAAAACAACATTAAAAACAAAAAAGTATGGTTAAGGTTAGAGAAAGAAACAAGTCAAATTGCAAGGTGTAAAACGACGTGCAAGAAATCTTGAATGCAATTTTTTTGCATGCAAACAATTGCATTCAAGTTTTCTTGCAAGCTGTGAAACGGCCTTTAATAACATTGACTATTTATAGGTTATGTGACTTTGTTTGTCGACTTTCTGCCAAAGTCATTCATAATGAAATCTTCTATTAAAACATTGTCATTCTATTTATTTTTGGACATTTTTACTCTGAAGAACAATTAAAAATAAAGTGCTTTCCTCAAATTGTTTTTGTGCAAAGTGTGTGTGACAATAAAATCCACATGGTTTGCAATGAAAATGTGACGGTAAACTTGGTATCGGTTATAAGAGATGGCGCCGTATGCGGGCTTAGTGAGTTTTTTTCATAAATAAGTAAAATAGATAAAAAAAAATTGTGTTTTTTTTTTAATTTTGAATTGAAATTTTCAGGAAATGTAACTCTTGACAAGGGCTTTAAAATGGTGTTTAGTTAAAATCGCTAGCTCTTATGATTTTCGAGAAAATCGAGTTTGAAATTTTTGATAAAATTTGGACCAAAAGTTTACTTTGAGATCCAATTGCCCAGAAAGTATTCGGGTTATCAGAACCAATTCAACATGGATTTATAGAGAATTTAATGCTCTTTCCAACCATATATATTTTGTTTTGATTTGTTCAAATTTCTTTGAAGAAATTGGCCATTATTCCTAACCTTGTCAAGATTTTTAAAAAAATCCAAAACGAAAATTGAGATTTTTTAGCTTTTTGAAATCTCCATTTTGAAAGTAATGTTACAATTTTTTTTCGATTAATTTAAACCCGCTCAATCAATTGAAAAAGTCAAAATTTCGAAAATATGGAAAATAAAAATTTCGAGTTTTCGATTGGTTTGACTGAAACCCCCCTTAAGCAACGCCACTGGCCAAACAAAATACATGTTGCCAACTTGAAAAATAACCGGCCAATAGCAACAAGAGCCTGGAATAAAGAAAAATTGAAATATAAAAAGGGAAACATATATAAATATATCAAAAGAACAAATTTATATAAAAATCAACACACCACTTATAGGTATTTGGTTTTATGTCAAACAAATAAAATTTGTATGTTAATGAAGTAAAATTTTAATACATTACGAGGGATGTTTATAAAGTGTATGCCATTGTTAAAAATATTCAAAATTGATGAAACTTTAAAATCACCAGAAATAGACCTATCTATTTTGCCAGACAAAGAGGTAATAATACGAAAACTTCATGAAATAAAAAAAGACACAGAACGCTCATTGCGCAAGACGAGGCAAAACGTACCAAATTATGATAGACTTACGTATAGCAATCCGTCCTTTTTATTTGCACAGAATAAAAAGGAAAGGAGAAAAACCGAGTGTTGTGCAACGTATTTGTCAATGAAAATGTCAAACAACTTTTGAATGACACTTGTCAAGTTGAATATCAACTTTAGATTTATTCTTGTCAGACCACGTGCAATGAACAAGGATAAAGAGATTCCCAGCATGCAAAACGATCACCTCACACCTGTATTAGCTAGCCAATAAAAAGACATTGCCTCGTGTTGCGCGCGCATACCAGGTAAAAATAGATAGGTCTATTGCCATTTTTCAAAAAGTTTTTCACCAATTACCAGATTTTTCATGAAATCATCAGATCTTGTGAAATTTCACCAGACCTGGCATCACTGATAATAATTATTACTTACCTACTCTAGAGTAATTGAAGCACTTTTTAAATTCTGATTAGTGGCCGGATTTTTACTACTAATCGGCCTTGATCAATAACCGACAGTCGTTATTTCTCTCTTTAAAAAATATTTATGGCAATTTTTTGTGTGTGTTGGGATAATTTTTTCGGTAGACAATGGTTTTCCAAATAATATCTCAAATTCAATTGTGTTGTCCTTTTGGACGAGAAGTAATTCTCTTCCTTCATTTCCAATGTGAAGAAAATTCACTCCTAAAGTGGGTTGTGCAATCCATAAACTTTTTCAACTGCTCCAAATTCATTTACTTTGTGTAAGCCTATAGGAAAGTAACCAACAGTCTTTTCATGATTTTCTGCTCTCAGTGAATTATGGAAACTTCACCCAAGAAAGGTGCAAGAAGATTAATATTCTCCCCTTTTTCACAAATACAAACTTAACCAAATAACACAAAAAAATACATACCTAAAAACCTTCTAATTTTTCATACTGTTTCAGGTTTTAGAAATGTTATAATTGCTTCTACATGATCCTTATCACTGACTACGTATATTATATCATAAATAATTTATTTAATTTACTCCAAAAGAACACATTTTCCTATATTCATTTAAACTCTTTATTCACAACGTTACTTGAAAAATTTCTGGCAAAGGACATATTTTAAATGGACAAGTTTTATAGGCAAATTTACCAAAAGGACTTATAAAAGTTGTTAAAAGTTTTGTAGATTCAGAAAGTTTTAACTGATGAAAACCTTTGGAACAATCTAATTTTGGGAACAAAGTTTCGTTTTCTATTATGGCTAACGTCTCCTCAACTGATGGTGGTAACTACTAAAGTTCTCTTTTAACTAATGTGTTTGAATTTGTATAATCTAAATCTACACACATTTGAATTTAGAAACCTTCTTTTTTAACAACCACAATAGGTGAAAACCAATAGGTAGATTGGTTTACTTTCTCAATTAGCTATTTATTTATTAAGGTCTTTGGAATAAGACACGCTGCTGATCATTTTTGGTTCCACCCAGTTTAATAACAATTTCACATTTTCTTTGCATGAAAAAGCCAACACTAGCCCATCTACTTTTGGATTTCTACAGGTCATTAGGACATAGTAGTAGATCAGCCATCTTTAACATGAAATTGCTTACTATACAGAGGTTTTCACATCTATTGTCATAGCCGGTAATTTCTGCAGATGAGAAATACTTACTTATTTCTATTTTTTGGTAACCAAGTGAAGAAACAAGAACAATATCGCCTGGTTTCCTCCAGAAATATAACTCTGAAACCTAATTCAAAATCCAACAAAGAATGATACACATTACATTATTTTTAGGTACAAATGTATTTTATTGATGGAAAAATACTATAAAATGTAATGGCTGAACAAAAACACGCAATGGCTCCCATATTTGTCAAAGAATAAGGAAAAATCAACGTAGAATGAATAGCATATAGTATAGAAAAAGCCAACGACATCGACTATAACAGCAAAATAAGCTATGGAAATTCCGATTGAAAATTGTTCATATTATTTTGAGGCACGCTATTATTTAGATACACGAAATCAATTGAGGAAAACTGCCGGGCGCACGCGATTTTAAACACTTTCTATTCGTCAAGTTGATTAGTAGTCCTCATCTTCGCACTCGCAATCGTCTTCGTCTTCGCTGCAAATAACTTCGTAGTTTCTTTTTTCATAGTCGGCTAATTCGTCGTCATCTTCTATGGTGGTGATTTTCGTGTAGATATCTTTTGCGTATTTACCCACCAAAGCTCCCGCTACTATGCCCACCATTAAACTGCCGAGATCATACAAGAATTTTGCCATTTTTTTTCATAATCTATTTCATTTTGACATTTTTCCTTGACAATTTTTTGCTGGTAGATACTGGATATTTGAAGCCCCCATTCCATGGACGATGAAATGGGTAATCGTAACAACCAGCAATGGATAATTCGTATCGGACGGTTCGACGTATTTTTCCCAACACGTGGAATCTCAACCAAAGTGAAACGTATTATGATGTTATTGATCTCAACACAATTAGGTGCTAGCTTTATCCGATCTACATTACTTTACGGTGCAACAGTTTTTTCACAGACAACACGTCAAAATAAAAAAAAACTGCAGGTGTTTCAAAACAAGGTAATCCGTAGGATAGTCGGCGCTCCGTGGTATGTCCGCAATGCGGAGCTACATACAGACCTGAGCGTTAATACAATCTAGGAGTACCTTGTTGAGAAACATACGCGGTTTCTTGACAAAGTAACTAACCATACAAATGATATAATTAAATTTTTATTTGACGATAACTTCTTTTCTAGTGAATGAAATCCCCTTCCCTTCTTTCCCTTCCTCCCTATCCTTTTCTCACTCCCCTCCCTTTCCCTGAACAAAATTTAACTGAAAACACAACACATGGCAGTAAGTAGACTCACCCAAAATTGCGTAAGAGTGCTGTCGCACTAACGCAGTGTTAAACTCAAAAGAAGAAGGTGCTAGCTGACATTTCACACATAACCTCAATGACATGTTTGTCCCCCTATCGAAAGTCACGTTATGTCATAGGGCATGTCCATGTGACGTCACAAATGAGTTTGACAGTCGCCCTGAGGTAAAACAAATCATTTATTTACATTCGTGTAGATTAGGCCGGTTATGTTTTATGCGGTTTCTACAGCTTATTTTTAACAAGTTTTTGTGTTATTTTGTTCTAAAAAAGTTAGTGGAGTGTTTGTGTTCCAGTCTATGTGGTCTTTTATTCAGAAGTTTGCTAGGTTTTTCTATAATGGATTAAATTAAGGTTTTTTGGTTTTTCCCAACAAATATCAAAACTAAGTGTCACAAGAACAACTATACACGTCTGGCAAGTAAACATCTTACATGCCAATTTTAATGCGATAGAATGAAATGCTTAGAAAAAGTCTAAGGTTAAATAGAGAACGAAAACGATTTCCCCTGTTTCACCTCCAGCAAAAAGCGCTGGGAATGGTAGAGGTGGAACAGGGGAAATCTTTTTCGTTCTCTATTCAACCTTAGATTTTCTCTAGACATTTTCATTCTATCGCATTAAAATTGGCATGCAAGATGTTTACTTGCCAGGGGTGTATATATCTTGTTCACAATCCGATGTCCACAGGCGCAGGTAAATTAATCACCTTTCCCTATCAAATAGCATTGGTCACGTTCACCAGCACTCAACATGTTGAGTGATTAGTTAACGGCTTTGTTGAAAACAGATGAAAATCAGCTCTAGACCAATCAAAACTGTTCTACCTTGTGTATTCCACTTGTTGGAACAAAGCCGTTTACTAATCACTCAACATGTTGAGTACTGGTGAACGCGACCATTGAAAGGTGATTTTACCTGTACCTACCTGTGGGCATCGGATTGTGAACGGATAATAAGTATATTTACTCTATATTCAATCTATTTTTCTGTCAGATCCTTTAAAAAACAACATTAATCAATTTTTCTCTTCTTTCTTGAGCTAACAAATCAAACCTTCCATTGTTATTTAAAATTGATGGAAACCTACTAATTGTCAGGTGATTACGGTTCTGCTCAGCACGCTCTACTTTTTGAACAAAATACCGAACGCAAGGCAAGGACCCACGTGAGCTTATATAAGAAATTTTCCAGAATTCTATGTTTTCCAAGATGCCCTCTGATGCCACATTTCCGGTCTTGATCAGGGAAACGAGATAATCAACAATCAACTTGACTTGAAACGAACAACCCAAACCACATCGATGACAAACAAAATTCAAAGTTGTTATCTAATTTCCTTCCTCAACCTCTGAGCCCAACACCAATCATTTAATTAATAATCATCAAACTAGTTTTCTGACTGTTTTCAACCAATGAAATTCGCTCTGACTGGTTTGTGATTTCTGCAGAAACAAACCGCCTATCATCTACCCGGTTTTAATGGCGATTTCCATTTGTCAGTCAGTGTGCACTGAGTATATCCGCATCTTTTTCTAAAAGCATGTAACATGTAAGGATAAGGATACATTTTTTTTGCACTGGTTCGACAAATGGAAATCGCTATTAGTCTAAAAACTATCAAAATAACCACTCATTCAGTGCAGAGATATGTGAAGGAAATAGAATGCGCTTAGACGACTGCGCATCCGATTTATTGATAACGCATAGGGGGCCGCCATTTTTATCACGTTTCAATAGTTTTTACTTATGCCGTTTCCGATTGGTAGATCTAGTGCAGGTTTTTTTTTTAATTTTTGTATTTTTCTTCTACAGGTTGATGAAAAAGAATGAAAATACACTCAATGCGCATTAAATTTACCAATCGAATACGCTATTAGTTTTTACGTTGACAACTACAATCTGACAGATTTTTCACAACATAGGTAACCTTACTTTTGCTCGGTCACAGATTGTTGTTGTTGGCGATTTTTCCTGCTTTTTCTGAGATATTTTCATCAGAATGGTGTTTTAAAAGATATCTTTTTGTTATTTGTGCTTATTTTTGGATTTATGAGTTGTTAATAACCTATTTTTTCAAATCCGAATTTGACAAGTGATAAAAATGGCGGTCCTTCAAATTCGGCCAGTTGCGCAGGATGGTACCCGAGGTACAGTTTGTTAGGAGAGTACGCGTCGCACAACTGACAACGTAAACGTCGTCATTGGTTCAGGTATGACGTACACCCGTCTTCTGACGTGAGAAAACGAGTGTACGTCATACCTATGGTCATACCTGAACCAATTGTTTACGTTGTCACTTGTGCGACGCGTACTCTCCTAACAAACCGTACCTTTAGGGTGAGTTCTCATGAGCGTAAGTTGACATTTCTGGCGTAATCACGTGATAATATGATGTAATTTGATTGGTAAAATATCCAGCATGGCGAATATTTTACCAATAAAACCCAACCATTTTACCACGTGACTACGCCAGGTATGTCAATTTACGCTCATGAGAACTCGCCTTTAGGGCGAATTCTTATGAGCGTAAGTTGACATTTCTGGCGTATCACGTGATAATATGGTATAATTTGATTGGTAAAATAACCAACATGGCAAATATTTTACGAATAGAACCTAACCATCCCGTGATTACGCCGAAAATGTCAACTTACGCTCATGAGAACTCGTCCTCATTCTATTATTCTAACCAACAACTCTCCAATATCTCTGGTTCAATGATAGCAACAATGATCAAGAAACCTCGGCATCAGCGCTTCCCGCACAAACTCAAAGTGTCCCCCAAACTTCACTTATTTGGGGAAATAAATTAATACAGTATCCGCCAAAATAAACAGTACTGAAAATATAAATTATATCATTTAGGTGCGATTCTGTATGCGATGTAACGTACTGTACGGGATGCAACTTTGAGAGCTGTAAGGATGTAAAGAAAAAGGAATTCTGTAACTACATCGCGCTGTAAAATAGTCTTACACCTACTGTAAATTTACGTCGCGGGAAATGGAGACATACTGTTACATTTTTAACGGTATGAAACAAAAAAGTTTTTTTGGGTTGCACAATATCACAAAAAGAAATGTTTCGAGTGAGGTATTAGTTAAATATGGAATTAATACAGATTAGGCATTTCATCATAATCATCATCATCATCATCATCATCATCATCATCATAGGCAATCACTCGAGTATGATCTTCTATTCTATTCTTCGTCGATTGTGTGTTTCCTAATGGTTATATAAACCAATTCTGGAGCCGCACACTTTTCCATATTCTTGGAACACCCAAGGCCTCTACAAAAACGCTGATCCGATTACAATGGATTAACGCGATCAAATTTGATTTATAGTTTCTTCTCTAGCAAAAGTATTACAAAAGTTATGACTCGTTGCAAAATTAAAATGTCCTTACAAAATAAAGCAAGCACCTTTGATATAAATATTTACACTTGGCATCAGTACACAGTGCATTGCACCATGCCTCTGGCTGGTCAGCCCAGAAACTCCGTGTCTGTGCTCCGTGTCATGCAGAATTCTACATATTAACGACAGGATTCTATAGGCTCAGCACATTCAATATATCGAATTCTACATGGCACGGAGTCCCTGCCCAGGCCTCCACGCAAACGCCAACAGCGAACAGCCAAGAATTGGGGAATCATCGAGAATCGAGGAAAAAAAAACCCTTTAGGGCAAATACACGATCTGACAGTTTGACACTATTGACAATCGCCTTGAGGTAAAACCATAGAGAAATATAATAAACTAAGGTAAGAGTACCTGATTGATAACATGAAAGTTTGTATAGCGCTGACGTCACAGCGACGGTGGCGTCAATAGTGGCAGCCGGAACAAATACTGAAATGACGGGAATTTTGAAATTTGACTTGAGTTGATTGTACAAAAAACTTACTTCCACATCTTTTTTTCTCAAATCCGAATGAGAAAAATGATGTGGTACTCCATAAAGTTTGGTGCCATTTTTTGATGTAGATATAGGCAAAATAAACACTAAATTGTACTAGAAAAAATATATATTGTCGCGGCTTTGGGTTGCCTGCTGACAAAAATCTTGGGTTCGTTGTTCGTTTCGTTTATTCCAAAAATCAAAGTCCAATTAACACAGCAATAATTTATTCCACTTAACAAAACACTCTGACACTAATTACTTTATTAACAAACTCAACAATTAAACTCTATACAATCACTATTTAAATCGTATTACACTCGAACTGAAACTAACTTACAAACCAATGCCGGCCTTCTTATATATCCCTAAATCTATTCCTGTGAAATCTAGAATACACACGATAATCTAATTTTCCAGATTAAAGTAGAATAATTCGCTAGATTCTAGTATTTCCGCGATCGATTCTTGACAGCGTGGCGGACGTTTAGCTTATTGTGACACTGCCCTCCTCTTAAGGTTGATCGTCCCGATCAACTTCACGCCCATGATATTTCGCCAACCTGTCCAGATGTACAACTTTCATCTTACTCCTGGTGTTGCGCTGGACTCGATAAACCAAATCATTGACCCTCTTGATTACTCTATAGGGTCCTTCCCATGCTGAAGACAATTTCGGTGATACTTTCTTCCTTACTGGGTTATACAACCACACTAAATCACCTTCTTGAAATCCGACCGAATTGGCCTTCAAGTCGTATCTGGTCTTCATTCGGTCACTGGCTAGTTGAATATGCTCCCGAGCAAAATCATGGATACCCAGAAGTCGTGCCCTTACTTCGTCGGCATAATCTCGGATTTCTCTTCGTTCTTCTTCGGGTACTCCAAACATCAGATCGCAAGGTAGCCTGAGTTCCCTTCCAAAAACAATTCTAGCCGGACTTTCACCTGTTGAATCGTGAACAGCCGCTCTGTAAGCCATTAAAAAGAGAGGCAAATGCTTGTCCCAATCTCGTTGGTTCTTTGCGACCACTTTTGTCAGGTGTTCCTCTATGGTCTTATTGAATCGTTCTACCATGCCATCAGACTGAGGGTGTAAAGGTGTTGTCCTTGTCTTACGAATGCCCATGATCTCACAAACTTTCTTAAAGATGGCAGATTCGAAGTTTCGTCCTTGGTCTGAATGTAACTCTAGTGGCACACCATGACGACTAAAAACTTCGTCCACTAGCACCTGGGCAACAGTGATGGCTTCTTGATTGGGAATAGCGAAAACTTCTGGCCATTTACTG